TGTGCTGTTGGGGGTACATTTTCTTTTTTAATAAAAAGGAAAAGGAAATTTAGATTCACATCATCAAGTTCAAAGCATTATAGCACCCATCTAGAAGAGGTCTAAAACCAGCATCAAGGTTAAGTTTTTCTAAAGCATATGTGTAAAAACTGTATCTCAAAAGAAACCAGAGTTGTGCATCACGTTAAAATTAAAATGCCTCCCTAGTTAAGTAGGTTCACTATCTAAGTTTTGGGTTGTTTGCTTGTTTGGGGGTATGTTTTGTAATCTTGCCCACAACAAGCACCAGAAGTTCATGTATGTCAGGAGAAAAAGTGTGACAGGGCGCAACCAGCAGTGAACAACACACAGGCAGGCATGCGTGACCCCCCTCCGCCCCCCACCCCGGAAACCCACACCTCCTCCCCCCAGCTCCCGACACCCACATTCCTGGGTCACAAGTCTCTCTCTGAGCTTTCCCTCTCACCCATCCCCTTCCAGCTTCCTTGGTTTAGCCTAAATCTAAATAGATATCCCTATTGTTAGAAGAAGTGACACCAAATTTCCAAAAAGCCTCTTCTGTTATGTTTGACCCAGCTGCCCTTTGCACCCTCATCCCCGCCTCTCAGATGCCAGGATTTGTCTACAAATCGATTACGCAAAAGTGACTGGACATGAGGGACACATCGCCCCATGAGCTCAGACCGCACGCCCAGAAGCCTGGGGGTCGATGTCCAGGTCACAATAAATGGCACACAGTGTGACCACAATACTGCTGCCTCCCATGTTGCTGAGCCCCAGACGCGGCGGCAGGGAGCACGCTGTGGCTCCCCGACCTTGGCTTTGCTCCCCTTCTCTCTATCTCAGCCCCTTGGGGAAAAAACACACACAAATCCTTGAATTCTCTCATCAGCAAGAAAAAGGGTTTGCATTTGCCTGCTGCAGATGAACTTCTGTGAAGTCACTCCTGCCACTTGCACTCTGAGGGGAATCTGATCAGAGGCAGCTCGAAATTATCTGAAATTATTTCAGCCCTGTTCTCTGCTCAAGGCCTGACACGATCGGAATCATTTCCCTGCACTACACAGGGTCCTTCATAGCGCCTACATATAACACACACATGTGTCTACACGTGCACGCGTGTGCATATGCACACGCGTGCTCATAAGGAGAGGAGTAGACACCGCGTAATGTAATTGCTGTATTAAAAAGAAGTGGCAGGTGAGAATAATAAGGGAGGTGTCAAAAGTGAAATACAGTAGTAGACTTAAAAAAAAAAAACTACAGTTCTGTGATGGGGGTGTTAATTGAACACAGAGAAAAAAGAACAGAGAGAGAACAAAAGGGTGTTAAGGGAGCAAAAAGTAATTTTTTTAACCTCCTTCAGCGACTTGATTTGCGTTAACTTCAGTGCAGATGAGGCACAGAAGGAGAGCTGGAAAGCGCCATCTATAGCTATGATGCTCTGGAATGAAAAGCCAGTCACCACAATCACAGCTATTCACCATTATCTATAAATATCCTCCTCAGTAAATGGCACCCAACATTTTCTGGGTTTTCCTAATTTTTAAACCTGCATGATGTTTGACACAGAAGTAAAAAGGGGGGGGGGGGAAATCAAGAGATGTTTTAAAAGACACTCAAGGTCTTTTTAAGAAAGGCAATCTTTGACTTTTTTTCTCCTTCTCTTCTATCCCATCAACCCGCTACCTCCGCATATACACATATGTAAAATGCAGCCCAGTGCTAACATGTCAGAAGACAAGAAACAGTTCCTAAAAAACAAAGAAAGTGACATATTAAAAGGTCCCAAACTCTCTGTTCCCAGAGGAGCAGGCAGATAAAAGCCACTTCTGAAATACACGCTGCTGCAAACGCACACGGGTTTTTTCCTGCTGCTGTTTGAGATTTGCTGGCCGAGCATTTTGTCGGCATGCTTTCTTCTTAGCATTTATTTTAAAAAGCAAAAAGGTAGCAAATAAAGGCTTCCCCACGCTCTGAAGCAAGAAGACGCATGGGTTCTTTTTTTTTTTTTTTAATACCCCCACAGTAATTTCTGACTTAAACACCTATCAATCAACTGTAATGTAGCCGGCGCTGCCTACTTTGGCTGCTGTGCGCCTGTGTTTCCTTCAAGTTCCGAAAGGTTTGGGGAGACAGTCTTAGCTGGGTTTCCTACTTATTTTGAGTTTTACAACAAAAATCAGTAACAAAAGCAAAAACAGCAAATGGATGCAATGCCCATCCTCCTCTCAGTCCTGCCTGCCTTATGCAGACCTAGGGGAGCCAAACGCATGAACTTCCAGTGAGAATACAAACAAACAAACAAAGCCCACCCTAAACCAAGCACCCTCCACAAGGCTTCAGATGGAAGCCCCAAAATACTCATGAAATGTGTGTGTGTTTGGGGGGTGGGCAGGGGAAGGCTGGAAGTAACAACACAATGAAGGAATGTATGTGAACTGACCATCCAAACCACCTTTTCACTCACTCTGTATCAAGAGAAAAAAAAAAAAAAAGAAAAGAAAAGAAAGCTCCTGCAACTTTACACTTGGTGTGTCTCAAGCACATCGACCTGAAGGCATGCTGGCTGGCACAGGACCAGGCTCGAGCAGAGCCTGAGCAACAAGGGACGGAACTCTGGAATCAAAGGGCTCTTTCCACCACCACACTGCCTCCCACCCTGACAGGACACTCAGCATTCCAGGGGAGGTTTCTTCCCTACCCTCGTCCTGCTAACACACAAGCTGAAGAGCAAGAGGGAAGTAAGTAGGCTCCTTTTTATCTTTTCTTTTTTTTAACTTTCTCCCACAGATGCCCTCTCAGTCCAAAACTCGTGTGTGTGTGTGTGTGTGTGTGTGTGTGTGTGTGTGTGTGCATGCGTTTCCCCTTTAATACGGGGGGCAGTAATCCTTGTCATTTTCAATGTACAGTACATGTACTTGTACATGACAAAGTACTTTTAAATACATTATTCTAGAGACAACACACAGAACCTTATTTACAGTTTTAAAAACCTCCAAATATCAATGTCATTAAATGACAGAAAATTAAAACATAAATATATATATGTATATATATATATATATATATACATATATATATTCCAACAATAACTTACAGCGTCAGTGTGTTATTTTGACCAATACGACGGCTTCGAAGCACCATGTTTAGCCAGTGGGACTAAGGCGCAAGCTCTCTGACCCGCACAGGAAGCAGGTCATTCTTCTGGCCCCCCACTCTGACCCCCGGCTCAGCGGGCCTTAATTAGAAGACTGGCATTTAACACTTTGGCCCAAACATACAGTTAAGTGCCCTGATGAGCTCCCTTTCAATAAAAACCTGATAAAGTGTCCTCAAACACAGAGTCCCTGTAGCCCGGATTATCAATATGTCTTTACATCTTGATTCTACATTTTATGAATCGAGGTCCGCAGGGCACACACTAGATTAGAAACAAATTTCAACAAACCCAATAGTCAGAGTAAATAAGCATCAAGATCACAAAAGAAAACGAAAAGAAAGAAAAAAGGAGAGAAGCACAAAATGTCTATATGCACTTAGGTTTCCTGCTGAGCTAATAGGAGAAAAACAAAACAAAACAAAACAAACCTAAAACTAAAAAGTGTGACAAACTGAACGAGTGCTTTGATATTCGTACGCACCACCCATAAATCTCTCAAAAGGGGTCTCACAGCTAAAATAATGCAATTATCAGCTTCGCAGTGAAGTTAGGTTCAGGCCAGGGCACCTGGGGCACCCACCGGACGGTCCCAGCCTTGCTGCTCAGGTGCTTCGTCTAGGATGCCATGCCCGGAGCAAATAACATCCAACAAAGCAGCTGCTTACTAATTTTACACACAATCCAAGCCCCAAGTAATTACGTAGTCCATCAACGGTCACATCTTGAAACTATTTATTTTTTAAAAGAGAAACACACAGAGAGGGCTCTCAAATAGAAAGCCACCCTGTGTGCTCTCCACACCCCACCCCCACCCCCATTTTATGTGTAACTATCAATGTATATCAACCGGGCATGCAATCATATTTATTGTCACTTTCAGTCATGTCATGCCCTTGCTTATGTGGTTTAGATATGAATTATTGACTGTTACGCTCCTTGTTGTAAAAAATAAATAAATAAATGGGGTGTCAGGTACTTTGCTCAGAGGCCGGCGGAAGCGCCTGCTTCATAGGACCGCCCCTCGTTCTCCCTGGTCCCTGACACCCTGGCTTCAGAGTGCCTCCTCAACTCTGTCTTGACCCAAGACAGAGATTCACCCACTTCGGGGCGTCAAGGCTTCCAGTCAACAACAGGCGGATGCTGTCGCATGGCCTTTGTGGAGCATCTGTTAAGAACACCTCTGACGGATGGCTGCTATTTTTTAATTGTTGCTTTAAAATTTCAGTGCCCTCCTGGGATGTGTTATGGTGCCTAGAAAGTAGAAAAACACCCAAAAGAGTGATCTCATGGTGCTGCGTTCCCCTAAAGGCACGGGTTGTCCCTGGTAGGAATCCATGGGATGCCCAGGCCCCCGTGCCCTGCTGTGTAGGGCTGCCTGCACGTCCCAGAGGAGTTGACAACACCGGCAGAGCTGCTGCACGGAATTACAAGCAAAAAGGAAAGGAAGCTTTAAACAACTCCCCCAGAACCAGTGTTTCAAAGATGGCCCGAACCTATCCCTTCAGGAAATGGACTTTTACTTTCACATGTTCCCCGCAAAGGCACATCATTCCATAAATGTCCCTGCAGAGCTGCTCCATGGGCCCCAGTTCCACAGAGGCCGAGAACAGGCTTAAGGACAATCAGCCAGCAATGCCTGCTAAGAACTGCCCAGGACACTTGGTGCCTCGTGTCCGGGAAGCAGACCACTGGGACGCCCTACTGGATGGCGCACATGATCAATCTTGACAGTACTTCCATTCTGCAATTTTAATATTTAAATAATGGGTTCCTGATTGCTGGTTAAGCGACTCAATTGGCCAAAGAAAATGCTTAAGTGTCGGAATCTCAGTCCTACCTGTTTTTTCTTTGATTTCGCACAGCACATTAAACAAGGCGGGCTTCATCCGGTGGCAGTTTAAAGCATGTTTTCTGCAAGAAAAAAACAACATCATAGCTTGAGGTGGACTTCAAGATCAAACTGCTGATAATGCATGAGGAGAAAAAAAAACTCAACATTTAGCCAAAATGATAGACCAAGCCTAAGTCTGGGGCCTGCTTCGGTTGCTTCATGGCTTACCATAGACAGCCCGCCACAGAAAAGAAATCATGTTAATTAGCAGGGAGAGAGTAGGGGTTTAACTACAGAACAGAACTAACGCCAATTACACCCAGTTAGGCAGAGCTGTTTTGTTTTTTTATTCAAGTACTTGAATCAAAGTGGAATTCCTAAACCAATAATCATATCAGGGTAGTGGATACAGCATAGCCAACAGCACGGGTTAACAGTTCTATACAATCCATGCCACCATCACCGTCTAG